AAAACTTAGATTGTAAACTATATGAAACATGATAAATTTTTGTTCAGCCTCTACTAGAATGTTGTTTTGATCCATGACAAATGCTTCAAGGCATTACATTAATACCCATATTAAATTAGAAATAATAATTAAACTCCCAATAGCTCTTTCCTCAACCTAATTTAGGGAATCTGCCCTATTATCATAAATGGACAGACCATAGGAAATAACACTTAAAGTTGACTATGAGCTTTGATATATACTTTAGAAAAATGTGCGTTATTCATTTTTGAAATGTTGAATGTTGGCCAAACCAGAAGTTATTTCTGAATCAGATATAAATATGGTATAGGAAGTAAATGTGACAATACACTGAATTATGTTAACTACAGAACACAAAAGTAATTTAAAATAACTTTTGTGATTATATTTTTCTGAATTAAATCTGATTTAATTACTACCTGAGTATTTGTCCAACAAGTATATGGATGTTATTTCCTGGGTTACAGTCAGATATATATTCTCTAGACTGGGAAATCCCCAGAAATCAAATGCAATGTGTGAAAGCCAGTAGACTTCCAAGTGTTATTACTAACTCTAACCATCTCATACCCAGTCAAGATAAAAGCTGGGTAAAAAGAGTCAAATCAAATTCAAACAAAACAATTAGAACTTTTTTTTAGCAGAATGGCAATTCTGAAATCTATTGAATAATATCCAAACTAGATTTTAATTTGTATTACACATCCACACTGAAGAGCAAGTGAGAGTAAGAACTCCTCTGCAGGAAATCTTGTAAATCCTAATCCTCAAAAAACAGTTCTTTCAGGCTAGGTCTACACTACACCCCTCTGTCAGCAGGGGTATGTAAATAAAGCACATCGAAGTGCAAATGAAGCGAGGATTTAAATATCCCACGCTTCATTTGCATAATCACTCTCTGGCACTGTTTCGAACAAGCGCTATTTTGAAACTGAAACTGTGGTTTAGACGTGGTTCTGCCGACAGTGGGGTGATTTTTTGACAGATCCTGTACTCCTCAAAAAACGAGTACACTGTCGGCAGAACCACTGTCGGCAGAACCACATCTAAAACACAGTTTCAGTTTCGAAATGGTGCTTGTTCGAAACAGCGCCAGAACGTGATTATGCAAATGAAGCATGGGATATTTAAATCCCTGCTTCATTTGCACTTTCGATGTGCTTTATTTACATCCCTCTGCTGACAGAGAGGTGTCGTTTAGACACGGCCTCAATGTTTCTACCAGTTTGATTTCTATTTTCAGTTTCTTGTATAACATTGTTCATCAAAGCTATGAGCTTTCTTGGAATCATTCAGAAAGGATAAGATCTGTTTCTGATTTCCTGTGTTTGAGCCAAGTCTGATTTCTCTTGCACCAGCGTGTATCCAGAATGACTCTATTATCACTACAGCCAAAGTATTAATAAGCCAACATGTAAACAGTTTGATAAACAACTGTATTTAAAACCAAACAAACAAGTCAGATAGCTTAGAAAGAATGAAAATGTATTACAGGAGACTATAAGAACAGTGTGCATTACAGTTTATCTGCATTCTACAGCATAGAAGTAAGTATAGCATTAAACTGACGTCATTTTACAGAAAAAAAAACCCATAGATCTAACAGCTTTGAAATAAATGGGAAGGAAAACTAGACTTTGTGCATTGATCTATCATATTGATGCTTTGTCCCTTGAGAAATGCTTAGATACTTTAATGATGGGCATGCTAAAAGCCTAGACAGGCAGAGGGACCACTTGCCACAGTTACTGTCTGGAACTAGACTCACTGTAAGATTTGTAGGGGTCCTCTAATAGCAGTGGTAAGAAGTTTTGAAAAATGAGTAGAAGAGAGGGTCTGACCTTGTCCGGGAAACACTGACACATGGTGCAAAATATTGTATACTTCACAAAAGATCAATACATTTTGCAAGCCTTCCTTTAGCTTCATAATTATTTTAATTAAAGTATATGAAGAGTTCTCTTCTTACTGTCAAGAATGCCTTTCAAAGGCATACAGAAATTCTTCACATATACATGCAGAACTTTACTGGTTTATTCTTGTCAATAAATATACAATTTCCCAAGTTCACTTTCTAGATGAAACATTTTAAAGAGTCTTTGTATCTTTTCCACATCCCACACTTTGCAGGGACCAATACTGTGTGATATGATTTATTAGGGACAGATGTAAATTCATGCACTCACCACATCTCCTGTGAAGGTATTGGATAATTAGATGTATATAATTATTTTGTTCTTATTTCTCAATGGTCATCCTTATTGATACAGTCATTTCATCTTAGCAAGAAATGACATAAAATAATATTACTTTCTGAGAAAGCAGAAGGAAACCAGAACTCCACAAATGAGAATGAATGAGAAATAGTCTTGCAGTAAATCCTTGGAGCTGAAAACAGGAAACTGATAAATGTACTTTGTATGGTAGTTTATGTAAAGTCTTTCTTATGTTATAAACCTTTTATTTCTTGGTGTATGCTGATATTGGAAGATATCATTTCACAAATATTAAAGCAGTATTTGAATAACCTAGTTTGCTTTGCCTGTTGGGACCAGTCCCCCCTCTCTCTCTCTCTTTTTTTGTGATAGGTGCAGGGTCAGGGATATGTTTCAGCTTTGTTGGCTTTATGACAATGTACATACTTTTTGCTTCTGTGTTTATGGCATTGTATACTTATATCTGAATTACATTAATTGAATAAATAAATTAATACAAATAATTATGACCATGACAGACATCATTCAAAATAAATAATAAGTTTTAAAAATACTTAAAATCAAGATTTTAATTTGTCTTTTGATTTTTAACTCTTCTGTACTCTTCTGCCAGTGTCTGTGAAAGTTAATCTTTAATGTGCCCAAAATGCATGCCTCTTCCTAACTGTGCAGATGGAAACTCTACTTACTTTCACCTCACATGTAAAAACAGAAATTGTCATCTGCTTTTCTTTCTTTTTAACTTTTGCACTCTTTCTCTTCCCAGGTTATTCTTTTAATAAAAGAATGCATTGATAGAAAATAGTTTGACAAAGACTGATATAATTTATGATAAAATTCACACTTTCACATTACTTTTCATGATTGAAGATTTACAAACATAAATATGAATGAACTTTGCACTTAATCATTCAGATAAGTGAGAACTCACAACCAAAACAATATTATTTGCAAAAAGCAAGACTTCCCTGATGGACCCCTTCTCCATACCCAAGACTGGCCAGCACTTCTACATTTCTCCTCTTCCTCCTGCTCCTCTGAACTTCTTCTCTTGCCTACCATACCTCTCTCTGCTTCACATCCTCACCTTCCATCCTCCATTCTTATGCAATATCTAAATTTGCTTATTGCTCCCCTTCAATCACCTCAGCAAACTTCCACATTGGCTGTGCTGCTCCTCACCAGACCTATTTCCTGGTTAGCTCCCTGAACCATAGACTAGCAGCCATTTTGTCCATGGGCATGAATCTAATTTTTTTTTAAAAAAGCAGTATTTGGCTGTCAACTTTATTAAGGACAGCCTGTAGGGGAATGGCTGCCTGTGATGAAGAATCCATTATAACTCAGCTGAAGTTAATTATTCACTGTTAAGAATGTGCACCTTATTTCCAATTAGGGTGTCACTTAGTTGGATTTTAAACAGCCTGGCCAGTTTTTAAAAAGATTTAATGTGTGCATATTTTTTTCCATTTGGGACATGTTAAAAGGCTGTATAATTCATATCCCTATAATCCAGCCTGTGTGGCCATGTTAGATTAAGGTAAGAGAAATGGGGGAGAGGGGAACCTTCTAAAAATACACATTGTGGAGGTGTTTGGTTTGCTGCATTGTTGTTTGATTTTTTACGTGTTTTTAGAATGGTTCTCTACAATATTTTAGTAATAATTATAAATATAGTCGGTAGTAGGAACTGCTATGGGGTGAAGGCAAGAACAGTGGCCAGTTTCAGTTGGTGGGACTGGGGATGGCCACTATCTGATTTGTCTGCATGTCACAGATGGCACCTTATTTCTACCCTGTATTTATCAAGCTTATTCCAGCTATTGGTTCTTGGATCCAGGGATTGCTGTTCTGGGAATACAGGTTAAAATGGAGCTCACCAGGGGCCTCTTTATCCTGTCTTCC